CTAACTGTTCTTAGGTGCCTGATGATGAATTTAACCTGAAAATCACAGTACTAAAAATATAATCCATAATTCTACAAGTAGCTTGCATGCTTCACAGAACACCCATCAGTATTCCTATTGATTTCAACAAGACGACTCAAATGCACAAAGATAATCATCTGCACGTGAGCTGCTCAGTCGGGACTTCTGCGTTCTCAGCGCATCCGAAGGTCTGACCATCTAATTCACCATGATGTGGTGGGATTTAGCAGCTAACATGCTGCAGAACTTCCTGTAACCCAAGGGGTAGGGAGAAAGAGTTCTTTGAGGTTGCCCCACATACTCTTTGTTTTAAAATAAACTATTTTACATACGTTTGCTGTTGAATTTTGATGCTGTTTTCTAGAAGGTTGGCGATGTGCCCTCACTAACACAGAAACCAGGGCCAGAAAAGGCATACCAAATTGTCAAAGCCCACCTCACCAGAAAAAGGCTGTGCTTTGTTAGCTTTTATTTGCTTTTACTCAGACGTACAGTGTCCATCCTCTTTCCTGGAAAGTGTTCCAAGATCTCATTGAATTCACCATTAGGTTCAGAGTCGGGAAAACTTCCTGACATTTTCACTTTTTTGGTTTCTTCTCCTTACAATCAGCAAAACCACCCCACAGTAAATCAGACAGCTCTCTGTTCTTGGTGGTAGTGTGCATCAGATTACTGTAAACCTTATCTTGCTCCATTTTTGATACCGTCTTGCCAAGTTTTAAATTCCTACATGTTTACAGTGATCTTTCCTTTCCCTTAATCACTTCTCCCCTCTTTAAATTGAACTCACATTTGCTGGCATTTTGCTGGGGCTGACCTGATCCAGATGCAGCATTTCATACAGTTACCCTTCAGAGGCAGGGTTACCAGACATCCACGTTTCTCTTAGAAACAACCCTTTTTTTCCTCCCTTCCCCATCAGAAATGTTGTCTGTGCAGAATTGGAGGATTTTGTCTGTTTGTCTGGGATTTTGAGACATCTGGCAGTCTGGGCAGTTGGTTAATGAGTATGCACTAATGAACTCGGCAGCACACAGCGCGTCCAGCCCATCCATAGAAATGTCAGGCTGATATACGCTCTGTATTTGCATCTGCAATGCTGTTTTCCTTACTAGCTTTTCTTACTGCTGACTCTCAGCTAAGCTTCTTACTCTGTGATGGCGATCAATGTTGTTTTCCTTGAATTAGCCAGGTTTTTTAAAATGTTTTAACACCAACTACAAAAGATGTGGAGACAAAGAGTCTAACAGCTTTGCAGCTTTTTCTCCAGAAGGAAAAAACATTACTTGGAGTGCATAAAGGAAATATCATGAGAGACAAAGGAGGAAAATAAGGGAAAGAAAATTTCCTCACGAGGAGGTTTTAAGTAGAGTCTGGCAATAATCTCCCAAAGGAAGTAGTGGAAGTCTGATTGCTTAAATCGATTAAAACTAAACAGAGCATCATACTCTACAGGGCCCTGTGAGGAGAACGCAGAGCTGGGCTGAACTAAAACAGGTTTTGTACTCTTCTTTTCTACAAGGCTGCTGTTGAGATTCTGCAGGTAGATTCAATATGGCTAATGCTGATTAACCACCCTCTTAATGGTGACTATCACTGCATTATTTCCAGCCAATTTTTCAGTATCCTGAACTCGTGAGGGTGTGGACATACAAAACACAACTTCCCTCCTTCACATTTTCTTCCAATACTTCAGGTGCACAAGAAAGGTCCAATTCTGAGCTGATTTGAAAGATAAGGGAAGCAAACCCCTAAGAAGCTCAGATCTTTGCTTTGCTCTCCTTGGTTTGTGCTTCTTCTTCTTTGTTCTTCTGGTCTGTGTGTACACATTGCCTTTTCTCTGCCTGTTTCCTGCAGCCCATCAAATCCATATTAATTTTGCAGTAGAAGTGGGTAGAGTTAGGAATAATGGAAATGTGCAGAGGGCTGGGAAGCAGAAACTCAGTGTATAAGCTTGGATGAGGTGCTCTGTGGAGGCTTCTACAAATTAATCTCTCTACTTAGACATTAATTTACATGAAAAATAAGGTTCAAAAGCAAATAAACCCTGGATATTTGGCATCTTATTTATGATAGAGGAAAAAATAAACAGATTATTGCTCATATTTGTTTTACCCATCTAGAAAAGCTTGCTTTTGTATGTAAATAGAGATGTATATCAAAGAAATGGCCTATTTCCTTTCTGAAACATAGATCAACTTGGTTTCATTCATTGTTTTCACTGGGATGCATCAGTCAGGTCAAATCACATTAAAAGCCCGCTCTCACCTCCTCCGTCAGAGATGTGTGATTGTGATCTATGCAGCTTTGAAGCCTCTCCTGCAAATGTGTGGAGGCTATTGCTGCATGCCCACACTTCTGTTGTTGCTCTCCCAGCAAAGGAACTGAATGTGGGCAGTTGCAAGGCTGATGATGGGAACCCGCCATGGCCTCCATGGAGGCCAGATCAATACTTAGCTCCAGTCTATAGAGACTGTGCTGCCTTTAACACTTGCCAGTGACCTTTAGAAGCATTTACTGTCAAAGTTATTGCTTGGGTATTTTCAAGTGTTGGCACTTGAGAAATTCCTCCCAAAGGGCAATGAGAAGCACTGGTGCTTGGAAGGAAGCTTTCCTCCTCTGGATCTGATCGCTGGAGGGAGGAGAATTGTGTCGCTGAGTAAGAAGATATCAGCAGCTGGAATGAAGGCACATGCTGGACCAGCATCCTCATCCTCCTACACCTGAGGGATTTGCAAACGTTGCAGGGAGGCTGATGAATGTGTTCTTGTGCTCCGTCACTAACACATCCAGCACAGAACAGCTGTAAATCTGTCCTACTGCTGTTCCATGCTGCCTTATTGGGAGCGAAAGCCTGAGTCAGCACAGAGATGGCCTTGCTCTGGAGTGCTGTGAGTCACCCTCAGGCTCTGCAGCCTGGGGAGGCAGGTGAAACCCTGGCCCAGCACGGAAAATGCTTTTAATTTGCTTTGCAGTCATTCCACCTAGTGGCCAAGGGACACCACTGCCAGGAGAACAGGCTTTGTGCTCCACAGTCCCTGCTATGCAAAAGTCACCCAAAAACCCCAGCTGGTATTTATGGCTGCTCCTAGGGACCCACACTGCTGCCAAGCTTATGAAATGCATACTAACACTGAAGATCTTATCAAAGAAATACTGTGAGTAGCTCATTAAGTTTCTGAGCAATTTTGTTAATCATACTGCATAGATAAAATGCAGATAGGCCTTTAGTGAGCTGATAATCTAACAAATAGGCAGAAAGTGTAACACTGATAAGGCAGAGATCAGTTTAATAGCCAGCTGTTAATCTAGGCGGTTCTGAACCGGAGGCATACTGTAAAACAGAAATGTGCAAGTGTGTAAGTGTGTGCATGAAAATGTGCTGCTTCTTAAAATAGCAGATAGAGCAGTAATATTTTGTAAGGAAGAGCTATTGGGAGTGATTTTAGAGGTATTTTAAAATATTTTTCCCTCCATCAGTCTGCACCATTTGTGGTGTCTTCATAATCCAGCATCACAAGTACAGATGTGTGAATAACAAAGGCTTGTTTCTGAAAGTCAGGATTTTCAGTAAAGATCTGTGAGTTCTACCACTGGTTCTAAGGCAGTGTAAGGAATTTATAGGCTTTTCATTGGGATGAACCTAATTATTCACTCAGATTTGTACTGTTCATGAAATAAGACCATTAGAAATGCATGCCCTGATGCCTCTCTAAGCTCTGGAGCATTAGACTCAAACCCATCCCCTGCTACTCCTCCATGCTAGAGGAAATACAACATTTTGGGTGGCAGAACCATTCTGTAACATGCCAATTGTGATTTTCAAGCAAGAGAGGCAATGTGATATTCCAGAATGCATCTGTTTTGCATGAAATAGCATTTAGGAGCAGGGAGTGGAAGCTCAGTGTCTCCCTTCACAGAGCAGCTCCAGCAGTGACTGTGCAGCATCATTCTCACTCTCTGCACTGCTCAGCAATGTTAATTCCATTGGAAGAAAATTGAGTTGTCTTTCAAATCTCAACTTAGTGAATCTCCTTCTTGTGGAGACACTGTAATATGTGATTGTGAGCCCTGGTGTGTAAGTACCCTCTCACTGAGTTTTTCAACTGCCTTTGTCTCCTGCCCATTGCAGAAAAAAATATAACAGAAGTCCGTGCCAATACATTGAGGGTAAAAAATGAACAATGTGTATATATACGTGGCTTAGCAAGTTGTTTGCTAGTTAGATGTTTGATGTGAAGACATCACTGTAAACAGAGCTAGAGGGAGAAAGCACATACCTTTTATATGTGACTATGTAAATATAGTATAGCTGGTGTAATGAGAAAAAAAGGACAAGTAATGATGCATAACTCAGAGCCATAAACTCCTGGAAACAGTTGTTATTCTTTCTATAAAGAAAATGATGGAAAGTTATGTACGAAGGTGAGATCTAGAGCGATTTGCATTATTTGAATTATGAGTATGGATTGCTTTCCTGTCAGCTGTACCTTAGGCTCACTAAAATCAGGAACAGTATGAGAAGAATTTGTCTATAATATTAAATGCTTCCTTTCCAAAACGTCTCTGGGATTTAAATTGTATTTTATGTTTGAAATCACTGTTCATCAGAGCTTCCATCAGGGCAGAAGAATCAAGTTTGAATAGTTACTTTGATGGTGATATGCTACATCACAGTGAAAACAAGATCCATCCAAGAATTAGCAGCTTGCACACTAGTCTGTTTTTTCCATCTTTTATTACAGCACAAGCTTGGTTCACAGGTCTTTGAGTTATTTAAGCAACATGATGTAGAGAAGCAAGTTGTGTTCGTTTCTGGATGTAGTATCACAACTGACTTGACAGAAGAACAATTGGTACCATGCAGTATTTATTTCTGAATGTTAGATCTGTTAGGTTATCTAACTACATAATGGAGGACTTGGGATGATAGCAAAGAGCTGATGGTAATGCTGGCAATTTCCCTCTTTTTTCTGCAGGTCACTGTCAGAGGATTTGGTCCATTGCTACAGTTTGCCTACACTGCTAAGCTGTTACTCAGCAGAGAAAACATCCAGGAGGTCATCCATTGTGCTGAGTTCCTGCGCATGCACAACCTGGAGGACTCCTGCTTCAGCTTCCTTCAGACACAGCTGCTGAACAACGAGGATGGCCTGTTCCTGTGCAAAAAAGATACCACTTGTCAGCGCATGCATGATGAGGAAAATTCAGATGGAGATGAGGAGGAGACGATGGAATCGGAGACGTCAAAAATATCTTGCCCAAGAGAGAGAATGCACCAGGAGCCCTTCAATTTTGAAACCACCGTTGCTGGCGCAGACAAAGGAGAAGGGATTCTGCCCAACTCTGACATGCTGAGAGACAGCAAGGACAATTTGGACAAAGATGCAGTGACGCGGTACCCCAGATACAAGAAATACCAGCTTGCTTGTACCAAGAATGTCTACAACACATCACACATCAGTACCTCAGGTTTTGCAAGCACATTCAGTGAAGAGAGTTCTGGAAACAGCCTCAAATCAGGACTTGCTATGGGGCAGATAAAAAGTGAGCCTCAGAATGAAGAGAATGATGAAGAAAGCATCACGCTTTGCCTGTCTGGAGATGAACCTGACATCAGGGATAAAGAAGGGGATGTTGAAATGGACAGGAAACAGCCAAGCCCCACTTGCGTCGACAGGCCAAAAAGTGGGTCTTCTCCTTCTTGCTTGCGGTCTTTCTTCAACAGAACAAAAAGTATAGATTTGGTTGGCTTCCCCAGCACTTCCCAACAGCACTTTGGCAGGAGTCCAGCGTGCCCTTTTGAAAAAGGGACAACTCAGGGTGACCACAAAACTGATTACGTCCCTTTCACAGGGAACTACGGACAGTCCCATGCCATGCAAAAGGATGCTTCCAACTTCACGGTGGGATCGCCGCTCAGGGGGCCCGGCTTTGAAACTCTTTGTAAGCAAGAGGGGGAACTGGACAGGAGGAGTGTTATATTCTCTTCAAACGCTTGTGACCAAGTAAACACTTCGGTGCATTCATATTCTGGTGTGAGCAGCTTGGACAAAGACCTCACTGAGACTGTGCCAAAGGGTCTGTGGGCTGGTGGTAGCCAGTCTCTCCCCAGCTCTCAGACCTATTCCCACAGCGGACTGACAGCTGATCACTTGTCAGGAAGGATGCGGCCGAACACCAGCTGTCCAGTGCCAATTAAAGTTTGCCCTCGCTCGCCTCCTTTAGAGACCAGAACGAGGACCTCCAGCTCGTGCTCTTCCTACTCATATGCAGAGGACGGCAGTGGTGGCTCCCCCTGCAGCCTACGTCTGTGTGAGCTCTCCTCTTCCCCTTGCTCCCAAGGCCCCCGATTCCTGGCGCCCGAGCACCAGGAGCCCGGTGTGGTGGGAGATGGATTGTACAACCCAGTTCGAGCCCAGATTAAATGTGAGCCATCCTATGGAACAAACTCCAGCGATGAGTCTGGGTCATTCTCAGAAGCAGACAGTGAATCATGTCCTGTGCAAGACAGAGGGCATGAGGTAGGGATTTAAGATAAGTACATATATATGACAATCATTGTGACCCAATTAATCGCTCCCTTACTCTCTCCAACGAATTGCCATTTTCCCAGCACATCCTTTGTTTATAGAGGCAAAGAGTAACTTCTATTTATTCCCTGTCAGCTGAGCACTCGTGGTTAATTTTGCGTAAATAGGCCTGTTTGACCTCCAAGATGCCCATGGCTTATCAGAATTTTGGTACTGAGCAAACCCGAACTGCTGAATGATGACAGTGTGTCTGTGTGCTGAGGAGTGCTGGCAGTGTTCTGTTCCCCTCCCTCCCTTGCCCACATATATGACACCAAGCACCATTCTTCATCCCAGGCTTGCCAAGGTGGTTCCAGCTCTGCTTGTTGTCTTGCTGTTGTGTATCAGCAAGCTCAAGCTTTGCCTTTGCTGACACGTAGCAGCCCGCAGTGACCCCACTTTGGTTGTGAGCCCATTGAGTTCATTTGTAAACTGCATGCAGTAGAGAGTATCTGAGTGAAATTGCGTATCTGGCTTCTCTAGTTAACACTAAAATGTTCCAATGAGAGCTTGTGCTTCAGTGTGGGGAGCAGCAAGTGCTTGTTTGGGGGTTTGTGCACAGTCCAAACCCCCAGGTGAACAGCCAGGTGAACCAGGTGTGCTTGGCTGGGCTAGGAGTGAAAAGAGTGAACTTTAATTTATCCTTCAATCTTAATTCTCATTGCATCCCAGGCTCTGGAAGATACCTTTCAGATAGATGTGTATGATGCCTTTACTGAGGTATTATCCTTAGGTCTAAGGAAGGGCTGAGCAGCCAGGTGAACTCTGATGCCCTCATCCCTACCACGCTGTACTGGTAGTTTGAGGCCAGCTCTTGTTTGTTGCTATTTGCAGAACTGTGGACATGCAGAGGGGAGAGGAATCTCCTTGGAAGGCTGTCTGGATCTTCTGTGTAGAACCTCACTCAGGAGGCCCTACGGCAGGCATGCAGGACTGCTCTGCTCAGAAATACCAAGGTTATTTGCAGTCTGACACTCTCTGAAGTGCTGCGCTTATGAGTGGTGAAAAAGAGCAGGGAGTGGGATTAAGGAGGGCATCAGATTTCCACCCATGTGTGCTGCTGCTTGCTCAGCAGGGGCTAATGCACAGCAGGATACAGTGAAGAGAGCAGGAAGTGAGCCTTTTGGGGTTTGATGACTAATTAGCTGTCATAATTGGCTAATTGTGTGGAGATGCTGCTGTAGAAGTGAGCCCGGAAGAGTCAAATGAGAAGAATATAGGGACTATTGGTTGTTCCCAGTAATAGTGTGCATATGTGTGCAGGCGAGCATGGCTGAAAGGAGGAGCAATCCCAAGAGCAGGGAAGGAGCAGGCTGCAGGGTCTCCATGTGCCGTTCAGGCAGATGTGCTGGGTTGTGGGCAGGGCTAGCAGGGCTTCACTCCTGGGTTTGCTACTCATTTTCTAATGGGGAGGTTTTCTACACTGTGCTGAGCAAGTTTTCTCCCTCGGTGTGCTGATAATGCCTTTTTTTTTTTTTCTTTTTTTTCTCTTCAGGACATTGTGATTTAAATTATTTAAATAACAGTGATGAAATTAATGCTCTCTGAGGTAGTACTGCATTACCCAGAGTAAGCCACTAGTAAACAGATCACACTAATGCTCCCATTAAAATATTAGGAAACACACTGTGCTCAGAAATAGGCTGCGTTTTAATCCTTCTCCACTTACAGACTTGTTGGTTTGACCTTGCTGTCCTAACGACCTCCCAGAGTGCTTCCCTTGCCATTTGCTGTCACAACACACAGAGTGTTTGTTGGGATTCACTTTGCCTGATAGGTGGAGGCAATGCACAGGCTGGCTGCTGCAGGTGGGCTTTCATTCTGCTCGACGGGAGCAGAGCTGATGGACTCTGAGCCCAGGTTATCTCACCACACTGCTGAGTTCCCCTGGAATTTGGACCCTGTTTCTCTTGATTTGGGTCCCAGAGTGCTGCCCGTGCCAGAATTAGTGTCACAAAACATCACCTGCCAGTGTATATTGATCAGGTGAGAAGTAGGTGAAAGGTTTCTACTCACTGCTTTTTTAGGGCACTCTTTACTTGCAGACCAGTGCCCTTGAGGAGCACATGCCACAGGTGCTCAGTGCCAAAAGTATGATTTGGAGAGGGATGCTTGATGTGAGTTAGAATCATAGAATCACAGAATTGCTCAGGTTGGAAAAGATCTTAAAGATCATCAAGTCTAACCGCAACCCAACCAAACTTACCCTCAAGTGTGGGTGAATGTGTCCTAACGCTGTGTCTGGTCCCACTTGGGGATACAGATCACTGTGGCAAGTATTGAAAGAGCACCACTGGTAAGTGCTCTCCAAATAGATCATCTTTGCCTTTTATTTTTCTTCCTGTTGAAGGAGGCACCCTGGGGGTTCTGAGAGCTCTATTAACACTTTGTAACTGAAGAAGCATTTGTAATTTGGAGTCTCCTAATCTCAGTATTACAGAAGCACAGGAACAGAATTGGTATCTGAGCTGTTGGGACTTTACAGAAATGAGTAAGAGTTTGCCTTTTCACCCAGCTCCTTCAGCCTCCAGCAGTTGTTAAAAATCAACTATTGGAATACAGTACTAAAGAGAAGACTCTGCTTTGCAGACAGGTTCTGACAACCCTGCTCAAAATAGCACCAACAAAACAATAGGGCCTGGAATAATGAATTGCTGAGAAGGAAGTAGTCTGTCATTCTGTTAACCTAGTTAGGAACAGAAACTTAGCCACTAACCTACTTTCCTTGATAGTCATTTTCCTCAAAAAGTATGTCTGTGGTTTTCTTTTTTTTTTTTTCTGTTGGAAAACTTGTAAAAAATAGCATACTACTAAACCAGTTAAAAAGAAATCTCAGCTCAGTCTAATTTGATGAGCGAGTTTCCTTAAGAAAAGGGTAAACATGGCTAGGTCTAGGTAAGAGATTGAGTTTTCCAAGTATCACTACTGGGAGAATTGCATTCAATGAGTCTTTCATTTATATTTCAAAAGAATTTCCCGCTTGGGTTAGTGACTCACTTTTCAAAGGAAATTTTCATAAAGGCAGAGCTAATGCAATTGGACCACAGAGGATACTGTAAGCAAATGACCTTCGGTGAGAGTCCAGGACCAACCTTGCTAAATAGCAGAGAGCAGCCCTTTCCCTGCTTGCCTGCTGTAGGTTAGCTCTGTTGTTATCCAGAGTCCCAGAAATGGGAAAAAAAAATAAACCAAAGTTGTTCTGCCTGAAATCTGCTGTGCTGGGCTGTCTCTGCTGAATCTGCTGGGTGTTTTCCTGAGCAGCATCAGCAGAATATTGGGAGTTGTGCTTGATGACATCTGAATAAATGAGCCTCATCAAATATTGCTCTTGCAAGATGAACTCCACGGCAGTTTTGTTTCCTTTCATCTTCGTAGGAATGGTGCCCATTCAGGATGCAGAGAATTATTGCCTTACAACACTGAGAGTTTTCCATTACAAACTTGAAATTTCAGGAAGGTCCTTTTGAATACCTTCAATCCCCTGTATTATTTCATGATAGCCTAAAATCAATTCTGCCATGCCCTGAGCTGAAACCCTTGCTGGAGCTCCTGAAGTTCTCTTTTTTTTTTTTTTTTTTTTTTTTTTTCCTGCAAGAACAGATTTTTCAGAGGAATGCTGCATTTCATTTCTTCACCTGATCTGTCCTTCTAAAGTGTTCCCATCTTCATCAGGGTCTGCTCACTATCCCTGTCTCTGAAGAGCCTCGTCATGGGCAGGGGATGCATTGTCCTGTACATGATGAGGACGAAGCTGAGGACACTGTAAGCAGTGAACAGGGAGAGGCCAGGATGGCATTTTATGCACCAATAAGAGAGGATCTGAACAGAAACCTGAGTCAGGGGCTGAAGGATGAGAACTCCTGGCTCTTGAGTTAAAGCCAGGGCACCACTACTTCCTCCAGTTCTTTGAGGCAGGTAGCAAATGAAAAAGTTGCCCAGGCTGCCTCTTCAGAGTGCCCAGCATTGTCCCCTCAGGGAGCATTACTGACTATGACCCCACATGCCCTCAGGTGAGACTGTGGTTGCCCAGGGGAGGACATGACCAGTCATACTGTGCCAATTAGAGCAGGCTCTCTGCTCTGGGCCTCCACAGTCCTGTCGCTTGAGGTATTTTCAGACCCCATTTGTTAGCATTCTGCTAGTTCTTTTCTGCCTGGGCTCACGACTTTCCTCTTGCAAGTCCACTGCCATCCCAGTGGCTGCCATTTGAAGAAAACTGTTTTGAAGGGGAAGCAGACCAGTGGGAATACAACCTGCCTGTGGTCCTATTGCACAAAAGTGAGACCAGTTACATTAGGTTGGTTCTTCTTCTCTGGGACCATGAGTGGTGCCTCAAGCAGTATGTAGGTAGTCAAGTCCTTGAAACACAGATGAACTCAATTCAGTTTCTGTCTTGGGCTGAATTTCTTCCTGAATGTTTGTAGAAGAATGACCTTCATACTAAGGAAGATACAAGGGAAAACACCAGTAATCTGTTGAGCTCATCTGTGTGGAGCAGATTGCCTCTTTTTAACATCAAAAAGCATTTCTGTGATTCAGTCCTCGTGTTAAATAGCTTGGTTGAGTCCTGAGAGCTTTCCAAGGGTTGGGCAATTTCAAGAGTCAGATGCTTTCAATAGCTCTGGCTTTCAATGTAAGAACATTAAGGCAACAGCTTTGCTTCTTACAACTCTAGAGAAAATGACCAAGATTTTCAACCACTTGTAAAGGTCTAGGTGGTTCCACTGAATTCTAACCTCCTATGTCCAGTACGTACTGATTATCTTATGTATAATGTATGAAACCTTTTATTTACTGTAATTTTAAGCTAAGCTTATGAAGTTCAGTATCTTCACCAGCACTTGGCAGCTCAAGGAAGACGTTGTTGAAATTTAAATATAAAGTGAAAAAGTTCATGCAACTCATGAGATAAGAAAATTCCCAATTATCTTATGTAAGTTAAATACAGGGCTTCAGTTTTTTCCTTTATTCCCAAGAGAAGGGGGCGAAGACCAGCAGCAAGAACTAGCACAGTGTTGAGCAGCACAGCACTCACGGCATATGATCCAAGCTGACACTAACTAGTGAAGCCTGAATGAATTAATTGTTTATAGATGGGCCTTGCATTTGCTGAGTCAGTGTTTGTCACTGCTTGTCAAGGGCAATGCTGTTACTTAGCCATTCTGTGGTGTAATGACATTTCCACTGAATGGCCCTGGGAACTAACAACCTATTAGTCTCACCTCTGTGCCACGGAAGATCTTGGAACAGATCTTCATGAAATCTGTGCTAATGCACATGGAAGACATGGAGGTGATACAGGAGAACCAGCATGGCTTCACCAAGGGCATATCCTGTTTGACCAACCTAGTGGTCTCTTATGATGGTGTCACTGCATCAATACACAAGGGAAGAGCCACTGATATGATCTGTTTGCACTTCAGTAAGGTCTTTGACACAGTGTCCCACATCATTCATCTCACCAAATTGGAAAGATGTGGATTTGGTGGGTGGACTGTTCAGTTGTGAATAACTGGCTGCAAGACTGAGTCCAGAGAATGGTGGTCAATGGCTCAATGTCTGGATGAAGATTAGTGATGAGTGGTCTCCCCCAGGGGTCAGTGCTGGGACCAATAATCTTTAATATCTTCATCAATGACATCGACAGTGGGGTCGAGTGCACCCTCAGCAAGTTTGCTGATGACACCAAGCTGTGGAGTGCAGTTGATAAACCAGAGGGACGGGATGCCATTCAGAGGGACCTAGACAGGCTTGAGCAGTGGGCCCAGGTGAACCTCGTGAGGTTCAACAAATACAAATACAAGGTCCTGCACCTGGGTCAAGACAACCCTCGCTACTGATACAAGCTGAGGTATGAAAGGATTGAGTGCAGCCCTGCTGAAAAAGGACCTGGGGGTACTGGTGGATGGAAGCCGAACATGAGGCAGCAATGTGCCCTTGCAGCGCAGAAAGACAAACATATCCTGGGCTGTATCCAAAGAAGTGTGGTCAGCGTTGTGAGGAAGGTGATCCTGCCCCTCTACTCTGCGCTGGTGAGAGCTCCCTTAGAGTGCTGGATCCAGATGTGGAGTGCTCAGTATAGGAGAGATGTGGCCCTCTTGGAGAGAAGGCCCACAAAAGTGATCCGAGGGATAGAACACCTCTCCTACAAGGGCATGCTGAGAGTGCTGGGGATGTTCAGCCTGGAGAGGAGAAAGCTCAGAGGCGGCCTGATAGTGGCCTTTCAGTATCTAAAGGGGAGTGACAGGAAAGAAGGAAGCAAGCTCTTTGGCAGGGTCTGTGGTGATAGAACAAGGGGAGATGGCATCAAGCTTAAAGAGGGTAGATCTAGGTTAGGTGTAAAGAAAAAGTCTTTTACAGTGAGGGTGGTGAGGCTCTGAAACAGAGATGTGGTTAATGCCCCCTCCCTGGAGACTTTCAAGGTGAGGCTGGATCAGGCCCTGGGCAACCTGGTCTAGCTGTGTATGTCCCTGTTCACTGAAGGAAAGTTGGATTAGATGACCTCTAAAGTCCTTTCCAACTCTAAGGCTTCTATGATTCTATCCTAATAGTAATACAAAGGAAAAAATGCTGCAAAATCATAAACAAGTTATATTTTTTACCAAGATGGTTTGGCTGCCTAAGGAGTGTATCAGCCAGAATCAGGGGCAACAGGGCTGCAGCACTGCTGAAAAGTGCTGTCTTATTTGTTGTGGTGAAAACAGATCCTCTGGTATTGTTATTTTTAAAAAGCAGAGAACAAGTAGTTGTATTGATAGTGGAGACTTGAAGAGCTCTGTTCTCTGTGTGGTTAGCTGCCTAGGAGTAGAGATCCTGCTTACATTTCTAATTTAAAATCATCCAAACCAAGGAGTAGAGTTATTTCCTGTATATAATGCATAATTACTAAAAATAACAATTTACAAGGACACATACTAGCTGGGATTTTCTTACACAGCTCAGAAAAGACTGACGATCTATTTTCAGACATCTCAGGTAAGTTTTCTCTTGTTTGAGTCAGATACCTTAAGAGAGAGCATCTTTCTAAGTCTGGTTTCCTCTCAGAGAAGCCATGGGGTTGCATTGCTCTCCACGGAGCTCTCTTCATCCTTGATGACAGCAGCAGGGATTGAGACATGAGCAGGTCTCAGCCCTTCATTTTAGGCAGCTCTAAGTGGGTCAGCTGAATCCCAACCATGGCACATCCCTCAGCTCATGTAAATGGCTTTGCTGAAATAAATACCCATTAAGAATCTTGCCGTGCATCAACATAAAGCATCAGCAGCCTCTCACTGCAGCAGCACTGCAGTGTAGTTATTCATTGTGTCCATGCCAAGGCATGGTTGGGTTTTTTTTGGTTTGGTTTTTTTTTTCTTTTCAGTTGACAGCTAATTGTGGAGAGAGAGACAGGCAATAAAAATTATGTTGATGGTGAAGGAAATGAGTCTGACTCACTTCCACTCTCCTTTCACTTTTTTAATCCTGCACAGTGCTGCATATGACAGAAGTGGAATTAGGCTGGTTTACTGATAGCACCCTCTGCCCCACTGTAGGTATTTTTATTTTCAGACTATTTTTTTTAACATGTTTTTCTTTACTTTCCTGTTTCCCTTCAGCATCTTCTACCTGACAGATTTAAGTCAATCCCATCTAATTCCCATTCAAACTGCAAGCACATTTCCTGCTTGCGGGTAAATATGTTGAGAAAGGGGGATGAGGGAGGGAGAAATAAGGTTAGCATCTTTCAGCTTCAGACCTCAGAAAATGAGAAAACCCTCAGAACATGACAGGAGTGTTTTTGAGTGAGACCGTGGTGCTTTTCAGCACCTGTTTTTGTTTTCAGGCTCTATGTGAAGCTTGAGAGAAAACCAGTTTACCCCAAATGTGTGTTTACTGTCCAAAGAGTAGAAAGAGGAAATCAAAGAGGTTTCGTGCTGTTTGACAGCAGTCTGTAAACAAGGTGTCCACATCACCATGTCTAAGGTCAGCTCGTGTGTTTGTGCAGGCAGGCGTGGGGGGATTCAGGCAAGCCTGGCAGCTGACCTGCAAAGCCAGAAAGCCACAGAGTGGTGACCGAGGCCTGGTTTTACCAGGGGGCCCGAAGGGCAATGTTCAGCGCACGGAACCGTGTGAAAGGGTTCTGTGAGCATTTGCAGCAGGTTCCACGTGGCTGGGGCTTGGAGAAACAAACAGTGAGTTCAAGTCGATCAACCAGGCAGGGAGCTGCCTACAGGCGGGTCTGTGTGTTATGTGTGTGCCCATCCTTCACACGCTGCTTCTAAACAAATGCAGCTCTCCAGTGAAAATACCCACTCTTATTTCTAATCCGTGTTCTTGTTTTATCTCCAAGTGACTGAAGTGCACCATTTGAAGAGGATAACTGTGTTTTAAATACCAAAGGAACCTTTTCAAGTGGAGTCTTTGGCTTGGCTGGAGAAACTTAAATCTATTTTCTTTGGGAGCGTGACTACAGAATAGACCCCTTGTTCCAAAGAGGTCGGATTGTACCAAATCAGGCTAGAAATGTAAATATTTACTGCCACCTTTCGGTCAACGTGGGTATGGCTACAAGAAAGAAAGGGTGACTGAGTCACTCGGTTGTCATCTCCTTCAGTTTTGTCAACTCTGTCTTAGATCACCAGGTGCAGCAGTGCACCTAGAAACATCATTTCATAGTCATCACTCACAAACAACAACTGAAACAGGATTCGAAGGGAGGGATGCTCTCTCTAGTTTGAGCAAATTGGAAAAAATAACCTAACAGAAGCCCTTTAACACATCTGCCTTTCTCCAGTCTCACTACAGTTTGAGAGAGGGTTGGAATGTCTGCACTCACAACCTGCAGCTCTTGCCACAAATGCACAAATGTAATGACAATTTGTAGCTGGAAGGAAATTTTCATGCAAATAGCTATTTCATGCTATTTTCATGCAAATAGCTGAGGTTCTAGACTGTTTTTTTTTTTTTTTTTGGTTTTTTTTTTAAGATTTCTTGGTTATTTGGTTACTACTGCAGCTTGGTTACTGTTTGCTAACATTCTTCGTGTTAGAATTTTGGAAAATACAAATTTCTTTTAAAATGTGTACATTTTAGGAGAGTATGATATGTTGTATCATTCTTCTGCTTAAACAACTTGTACTATAAGAGGTATGGTATTTTTTTCATCAACTTGAGGTGTTCAGTTGCATTTTGAAACCTCACACCTAATCAGATTTCCAGCCCTTCAGGCCATGCAAATGCAAGTGTCCTGGAGTAGTAGCCTATTCCTTGAAAACAGTTTGGAATGAATAGTGGTGAGGTATTCCACAAGTACTACATCACGTAGTGGAAGGAGACTTTTTTAGTGCGAGGAAATTGATTATTAGAGCTGTATGGGAAGGTGATTTTTTTTATTATCTGGGATTCATCAATATTGCTGATTTCAGTTAAACCGTAGCCAGCTGGACCTCTACGGTGTGCCACAAGGGAGTGTTAAAAACTTCCTGTTACTAAATCTTGAGCATTGTTTATTTAGAAAGTGGGAGCAGGTCTAATAGTCCTTCTGCTCTGTGGTGTTCAGCTTGCATTCACCAAGCAAAATGTGACTCTTTGTCTGCTTTTGTCTCACATTTGTTTGTTTAGGTGAAACTTCCTTTTCCTGTTGATCAAATCACAGATCTTCCAAGGAACGATTTCCAGATGATGATAAAGATGCACAAACTAACCTCAGAACAGCTTGAGTTCATCCATGATGTTCGCCGGCGCAGCAAGAACCGAATTGCAGCTCAGCGCTGCCGCAAGAGAAAACTGGACTGTATTCAGAACCTGGAATGTGAAATCCGCAAGTTGGTGAGTGGCATGCTCTTACCCTACCAGCTATTCCCATCCAGAGTTAATTAATTCAGTCAGCTTGTAAGTTTGTATGTAAGTGAAGGCACTAGTATGACAATTGAATGCACGAAATGTCTCAGGATGTATGTATATATTGTATATGTGGAAAACACAAAATACTGGTGAAATTAGACCTAAATATCTCTTTTTTTGATATCTCAAGAGTAGCTTGTTGAGAAATTTGGAAGGGGAGAGAAGCTTGTATCATAGCTGCCCTCTTGCAGTTTCATTTGCCCTCAGTACTTAAAGCACATAAGCAAAGATGTTCCTTTTTTAACTCCACATCCTTGCTTGACTGCCATAGCAAGTGGATTGCACTGGGATTCATAGCTCAAAAGGGTTAGGTGTGAAAGGACCTGCAGAGGCTGTCTGGTCCAAACTCTGCTCTGATTGGCCCAACTCCATCTCTACATCTAGATTTTCTTTCTCTTTAGTTTTTTAGAGAGCAGCTCAGTGCTTTGCGGGGTGTTTCAGCTTGCCATGCCTTTTCTTCAAATCTTTGATTCTCTGATCAAATTGCAGAAGTAGCAAGGAGAATGAGAAAGAAGGCAAGAATGTAAATATCCAGACATGTGTCCACGCCTTGATTTAGGGCATGCCACTCTGGGATGAAGCATACCCTGTTCAATGGCCAAAGCACAGGTCTCCTGTGTGCCGAGGTACCACTGTAAAGTGCTACCACATTTCTGTCTAAGAGGGAGAAGTGACTGGAATGGTGCTAACTGGCTCCTCAGGAAATTCATCTCTCTTTTAGTCATGGTGTGGATGCCTTAGATATGTGTTTTAGGTGCCTAACACAGTTGTCTACAACATAGACATCCACACTGGAGCTAGCTGACCTGCTTTCCTTTAATTTCAGTGAAGGGAAACAGGTGTCTGTCAAGTCTTATTTAAATGTCCCATCCTGCAACAAAGGAGGTGATGTACAGCCCAAAAGTGCCTGTTTCTTTCTGTGACTAAGTAAGATCACCTGGAGAGCTATGCCAAATGTAGGCATCTTAGTTGAAGGCATCACAAACATTCCCTCCCCTTCTGACAGTGTCCCTGTGGTCTGAGGGAGCTGCTTTTCTTCTCTTACCTTTCCTTACCCATTGAGAAAGCAAGCAGATACAGAACAAAAAAGGCTTGAGAGAAAGGGCTGGGAGTCTGCAGGGTATCACTCAGGAGGAAGAATGTAGAATGGATTGGCACCTCCTGATCTGTTGAAAAGCCCTAAAAGTTTTCTGAGAAGTCAAAAACAATGTAAGTGTCCCAGAACGGCTGTTATGAGAAGTGGGGTAGTAGCATGCAGTTTGATTTTATTCCTCAGCAGAGATTTAGGAGTCCAGCCTTTGAACGTTCAAAGATTTGAGTGATAAATTAATTCCCATAGATAAAACAAAAGGAGCTGAAACTGATTTCCCTATAGTGATCTCTGTGTACCCAGTTTCCATTAAAATCAAAGGTTATTTGGAGCCCTTCATTTCAGTGTCTGCGTGCACATTTGCTCAGCTGTGGGTTGAACTTAGTGGGCTGGGAAATGGAATGCTTCTTGTTCTGATGGTAGCAGGTTGCGTGTCAAAAGTGGCCTTCAGCATCCTCCTTTCTTAGCACAAGCTGCAGCAAACACAGTGTGAAAGAGACAGGGATCTGCTGGAAGAAGCTGTGTTGTCGCCACCCTACAAATGGCAAAAGCCGCAGCACGTCGGGTTAGTCACTTACTGCCTGTGAGGGTCTGCTTCCCATCTGCACAGTGGAGGTGACACTGACCCCACAAGCTGGCTGGGAGACTTACATCATCAAGGCTCTGAAGTCTTCAAATACCATGCTGCTGAAGCCCGGGTGGAAAAAAAAAAAAAAAAGAAGAAACATAAAAATAAAAACATTTGTAAGAGTAGGGCTTTTCTGATGCAAAGCAAACCAGACATCAAAAGTAAACAAAACACTGAGCAACCGCTTCCTTCACCAAGCCTAATCCACAATGGGTGCAGGATGAGTCAGAGGTTCTACAGGGTGAGGAAGAGGCACAGAGGCGCATAAGCAAGGTTGGCAGAAGCAGGCTCAGTCCCAGCCATGCCTGCCCATCCTTCTGCACCAAGCTGCTGATGGAGAGGAGAATTCATCTCTAGCAGTGAGCACCCGGGGCAGTCCTGCAAGGGCTGCATGAGCAGCAAGTGTGGCTTCCATTTGAATACCTGCCACCTTCACTTGCAAATTAACTCTAGTTTGTTGGGTTTGTGCAGTCCTACTAAATAACTGTTATTATTTAACATTATCAGTGGTGGATAGGCAACATACATTCCTCAAGACCCCTTTTTTTCCCTAGCACATCTCTGAGAAGAGAATGAAAGGCGTATGAATGGCCTTTTGGGCCTGATCCCTGCTGAATTCCAGGAATCAAAAGCACTTAGAAAAGCAGGAGTCTTTGAAAGTAATTTTAAGATTTCTATGCAGCAAGCTGTACATAGGGAATGGGTTCTAGTGCACCCTAATGAAAAAGAGCATTCATTACAAAGGCTATTATGGGGTGTACAGGAGGATAAAGTGATGATAGTAAACAAATTCATGCAATTTCAGCATTGCCTCCCCAGCACTTCTGCTCTCTCCACAGACACTTGCAGTTCAAGCACACTGCCTGCTTCAAGGCTTACGGTCTCTGGAAATTCCTTTGTCATCTTCTGTCCTCTTTGTCACCAGTAATTTCCAATCTTCTTAATTATGTTACAGCACTAGATTTTAAAGAATCTTCACTTGGATAGATGCTTTGTTTGTTTGTTTGTTTTTAAAGCCCCTTTTTCCCCATGGCGCTTACTCCCTGTGAGTCACCCATCTCCACAACAGAGATGGTTTCATCTCTGTTAGTGAAATGGTCATGTCTTCCAAGTTTGGTAGTTAGGGTTTTTTGCCTGCTTTCCCTCACACATCCATCTACCCACTCACATCCCATTTTTTCATGCGAACTCACAGCATATTCTCTTCCATAATTCATTATCTCAAGATGTACTTGAGCATCTGTTTATTTTTATATTATTTTTATGCTTTCTTGATAGATTTATCAATATTTTAGCAGTTGGTTCTTCCCATATAGAGTACTCTCTTCCTCATTCACACAGCTGCATGCTTCCAGTGCAGGCTTTTGACCTGGTGTAATGCTATCAGCAGCCACCCGTAGCTGGGTTATCTCAGTAGCAGAGTTTTCACACCTCAGATGCCAAGACAGCTTGAGTTTAGCAGTGTTACTAGGTTAGGTACATGGTGCACTGCTTTTAGGGCCAGCTGAGCACTGGAAATAGCTCTTGTGCTCTGCAAGATCTGATCTGCTCCCTTGAGCTATATGCTGGGTGGTGGTACTGATGTAGCAGGGCCGTTCCCACTATTCTGCAAGGGGTCAGCACCATGCTTTTAACAGTGAGCTCCCTGGCTGGGTCTGGCTCTGTGCCTGACCCCTCCGGTTCATCTCTGGAATGTTTGAATCAGAAAGCCCACCTACCTTTGAGGTTTTCACATACATCTTCATAGAATTATCTTGATTAGGTCAAACTCAAACCAGTTATTAGCAGGACATACAAAAATGAGCTATGGTGCTGACCACACTGAGCACATGCTGTCCCAAGTTCTCTCTTCCAAACACCATACCTTGCAGTAGTGATGGGTGTTCATAGCTCCAAGGACATACACTCAGACTGACTGGCTGTCCTGACATTTAGAGAATAAATTACTATATGTCCTCCCTTAAGCAGTGAGACACTGATTTATTCTTGTTTGGGCAGAAATGGCTTTTCTCCATCAAAATGTTTCTTTCGGAGTTTTTTATATCATACATCAAACAGCCTTAGTTCATTAAGGAAACTAGCAGTCTCTTGGAATAATGTATGACTGTTCTCTAACAACTGAAATGCTTTTCTCCAAATGTTTCCCAAACTGCAGTCCACTCAGACCTATTAGTGGTCAATATCTGATGCCTTTGTGACATTTCCTCTTTCCGTTTAAAAATAACTGTCTTGGGTCAGAATTCTCCTTGGGTACTGCCAAGGATGGATGGCCCTTCTTTCAAGTAAGGTGCCTTCTTTTTTTTTCAGGTGTGTGAGAAAGAGAAGTTGCTCTCAGAAAGGAACCAGCTGAAAGCAAGCATGGGCGAATTGCTGGATAACTTCTCGTGTCTTTCGCAAGAAGTGTGCAGAGACATGCAGAGCCCGGAACAGATCCAAGCCCTTCACCGCTACTGCCCCGTTCTCAGACCCATGGATCTGCAGACGGCCACCAACATCAGCCCCTCAACGGGTGTGGAGCAGGGCCTGGCAACGTCGCAGTGTGTTGGGGAAGGCATGCAGTGCTGCTCAGAGCAGGGCCCCGTGCAGCTGGGAGCGTCCTGGCTGCCCAACAACGTCTCAGAGAATTGCTCGGCCAGCGGCGGGGGGTTGGATGGAGCTGAGCCAGGTACTTACCCTGAGAGAGAGCTTCCGCGAGAGCAGAGTAGCCAAACGGTCACGGTAGACTTCTGTCAGGAAATGACTGATAAATGTACAACAGATGAACAGCCTAGGAAAGATTACACCTAGTGACTTGTAACCTTACCGTTACACCTGGTCAGGTGTTCTTCAGTCAGCCAGTGGCAGTGCTCATTTGTTGTCTAGAAGAACGTATTTGGTGCACACTACAGTGGTCTTAGCAGCAATACTGTTTTTAAGTATTCCCTCCTCTCTACAAGCAGGAGTAATCTTCACAATGGTGCTATCCCTTGCTCAGGCAGGGAATTACACAGTGGCAACACTGTCTGTTTTTGTATGTTGATTTCAATCTTAACAGGGATGGACATAACACCTCTGAGGACCCAACCGCAGCTTTTTTCTCAGTGGCCCATGTCACAAAACCCTAACTCAGGAATTTCCTCTGAATGTTCAATTTTTCATTGAAGACAGCTTCTTTACACATCAAAGTTTTATAGCTAAACTGTATATATTATATATAATATATATAAAATATATATATCCATATGCAAAAGTCCCTGCATGCCTCAATTTTTCTCATCCTACAAACTGGAAGCTTTCATTTATATTGTATAAACAAGTTCCAACATTCCTTTTTGTCTTCGATGCTAGAACTAGTTTGGTAACTTGTTACACAATTTTTTTTCTTGGTTCACAGTTCAGCAATATCATTCAATTTGTACTTATTTATAAAATTTTAATGTTGGAATCTTATTTGAGATTTTATTATAGACAATTTTTTTGGCACAGCCATTTTGTGCCACTTGAGCAATGTGGATTTATTTTATTTTCTTGCAGATACTGTACAGTAATGGTCAACTTTGCCACTTGCACTGAGTTTCTGGTCAAACCTCTTTTCATAAATGAAGTTGTGACTTCAGTATAACTTGAGTATATGGTTTTCTTTGCTTTATGGCTTAAAGAAAATAGAAAAGTTTTAGCTAATAGACAAACACTCAGGAGCTCATTACATAGTAAAAACGGTCTTGCCAAATACTGAATTCACTATACAGTTTGTAAAGAGAATCTGCTTGAATTATTTTTGTATTCAGACTTCTTTCTGTTTCACAAACCAAGCTTAAGTGCTGTTAATGATGCTTTTGGATTCTTATAGGGCAAAATATATATCTCACTCCTTAGAGAGAAACGTATTTGACAACTGGATCTGATCACCATTAAGTTCCACGAAATAAAGTAAATGGAAATCACATCAACACACTTTGGCGGCTTCTTTGCCAGCCCCATTCTGCATCCTTTACTCACGGAAGCAGCTGCTGCTCCAAGTAGTAGTCCCTGTAGCATCACCTCAGCTTTCCTCAGACCTTCCCCAGACCAGCTGCAGAGGTAGCTCTGGTGAAGGCAGGGATCCTGCCTAGGTAAGAAGAGTTGCAGGACCAGACCCCTTCACCATAGGCTCTGGTTTCCCTACAGAAGTCAAGTTAGCGCTGTACCCTCTAAGAGCAAGTCACACTCTGTCGGCACCCAGATTGGTTGCTTGCCCTTCCAGTCCTTGTGTTCCAGGATCCACTCGTCCTACAGCATTGCCTTCAGGACAAATCGCAGCTAGAAGAGCGCTGTCTCAAAGGAGACTACTCAGTGAATTGACTTAGTTGTAACTGCACTGGATTTGTATCTGAAGCGATGTTGACTCATGTTATGACTGTGTGAGACAGCAGCTTTCCAAGCATAACATCTGTATGTACAGTGTAGACAGAAAACGTCCTCCTTACGCTTTTTTAGTAATTATTATTATTCTAAGTGTACTGAGTTTTTATTTTGTGGTTCTTTGTCCTGCGTGTGCCAGGTTGCGTGGCTTTATCCTGGACGACAACTGTCATGTGCTTTACTGGCTGATACCATTTGTTCTTGCTGAAAAAATTGACCAGCTCTTCACACCTATTTAAAAATAAATACATAAAAATTGGGGGGTAGCAGCTTCTCAGTGGCACTGAGCGATACTGCGGTCTGCGCTAAAGTTTACACTTAGAGGTGTGCACTGGGGCTCAGTTGAGGCACTCAGTAGATCAGCAGCTTGACCTTGGAGGAGGAATCAGCTCCCTCTCTCCCTTCTCTCACCTTCAGCCTGTGCTCATGGATGTCGCCCACTCGCCACAACGTCTTGCTTTTGCCCTCTGCACCCACACTCTTGTAGCCAAGCTACCGAGGAGGAAATGCATATAGCATGTGCCATGTTTGTTGAAAATACTTCTTTTCCCCGCATGTACAAAGAAAAACTAGTATATAATGTAGGAGAATATTTATGTTTAAGTATTAATCATTACTGTACAAAATCCTTACCTTTACATGTTCAAAAGTATACAAATGCCATAAACTCCTAGTTCACATGGCTGAGAAAGGGGGAGGTGTCGTTCTTTCTTTTTGCAGGAGCTTAAGCTAAAAATCTCTGACCCCCTCTCACTTCCCCTCTCACAAGTAACTGTCTGAGAAGCTCCTGGGGGGATCTGATTTTCCTTTGAACTCACTGACGTTGCAAAGCAGTTCTGTGCTTCGCAGAGAAGTTTTGTTTCTATGAGACCATGGTGAAAGCTAGAATTTAAAACTAAATGTGAATCACATTATAGAGTCATAGCTACTTTGGGGGGTTGGGGGAGGGAGGGACGGGTCAACTGACACAGTATTTTAAAGATGTTTTTTCTGTTGCCTTTTTTATTTTTAAGTGACCTCCTATATATATGAATAGATAGAATGTTTTATGAGCATAAAACCAAGTTTTAACTTGCTTCCTGGCATGAAGATTTATTCTACTAACAACTCATGTGCAACTGGTACTCTTGACCTCATTCCAGCGGTTTAAAAACCCACCCTCACAACCATTGCGCTGCAGCTCTCAGTTTGACCTGGCTTCCTACAGGTGCTGGGTCTCTTAATTTTCTCTACCTTGGGAACTGATATATAAAACCACTGCTCAGATAAGTGTCTCTTCCTCAATATTCCTCTCCTCTTGCTCTCTTTCCCTCCCCTGTAAGCTTCTCTGGATGTTTGATTTCATTCTTCCTCATTAGAAGTGGCTGGTTTTGTGTCATTGCTTCCTATATTTACATGTATCATGGTTTTCCAGTGAGTTTTTTTGGTGGTGGTGGTTGGTTTTTTTTGTTGTTGTTTGTTTGTTTGTTTCTATTTTGTTTTGAGTTTATTTTGCTATTCTGAACTACATGGCTCTCAAAGCTGTTACTGGGCTAACTTTAAAGGAAGGCACTGGGAGAATTAGTTTCAGACCTGGACATCAGTTGGCATATCCAACTGCTCTTATCATGAGGTCAAAACAACTGATCACAAGGATACCATTTGGAAAAAACAAAACAAAAAACTGACTGCAATATTTACTGATTTGAAGAGTTTGGCTAGTGGTCACCATGGTCTTAAGAATCTCTTTGCATCTGTCAGAGGACAGTTGCACAGCACCAGGCATTGTATAGGAGAGGTGTGATGAGGCCCACTCCTCTCCCTACTGGGTGCTCCATGGGTATCTGAGTCCTTCACTCTTTGTCCAGTCTGTATCTAATCCTCCTCTTCCTTTGCCATTGCTCTACCTGTACTGCCAAGAAACCTCATTTCATTTAGGCTTGTTATGCTTTGTCAAGTGAGTACCACACTATATAATGTGTTTGTTTCTCTGCGTTCTCTGGGGGTGCCTTGAACACAATTAAAGCTCATTGCAAGCTGATTCTGGAACAAAAAGGTAGTGCAAAAAAAAGAAAAGATTAAAAAAAAAAACCAACAACAAAAAACAGGGAAAACAAAACAGAAAAGAAGCAAAACAAAAGCAAAGATGTTGGCTGTCTTATCAGGAGATCCCAGTATTTATATCACAGACTTCCTAACATTCAATGACTCAGGCGTCAGAGTTTGATGCTGCAGTATAAAACTATTATTTTATATATTGTACTAGTAATTTATTAAATGTCTTTCTAAGGGTATATGCTGCTTTTAAGATGCACTATATTTTTGGATCTAATCCTTGTATTATTTTTTCCCAAGGAAGTAAAATGTGTTGCAAAGGCAAGCCATGGTGATTAGTATGCTAACTGCTACTTCTCTTTAAAAAGGAGAGTGGGAACTAGATAAATAACTTAGCTAAATGGATTAACTGCTGCCAGAGGAATGATTAATGCTGATAGCATGGTTGTTACTCTGGAGTTCAACACTTTGTCAAGTCTGCATTCTAAAGAGCGCTTAAATAGAAGTTAAAACGCATAGATAGATATAGTTAGATTTTTTTAATATGTAACTTTATGATTGCCTAATAAAAACAAATCTGCATGCTGGAATCACTATAATCCTGTAATAAAATAAAAGCTGATCCACTAGGAGAAAGCACGATGAAGCACTGTACTTCAGTCAACACAACAGCCTCACTCGTGTCACGTAATGCACTGCTGTGGTTGTTGAAAAGAGCAGTGGGTTTCCAGAATGAGCCTCTAGTGATTTTTTTCAGTGAAACGAAGGGAGCGTTGGCCAGATTTACAGCAGCTTGCATTTCGATCCACTTTGTTTCCTCTCCTGCTGCAACAAGGAGCGCTGCTTTCACCTTGTTCTGATCCGACGTGCGTTTGGAGGTGTCTTTGGCTGAATGGTGTAGCCCGTGCTTGTAGCGTTTTAAAAGTATGTATTTTAGATCTGTCTAGAGAAGATTTAGCTTCAGTGTGAGCAGTAGAGCTGATGGCTTTGCAAAAGGAGGGATCTGCTCAGTATAGGAGTGAGGTGAAACTAAAATCATTGCCACAACAAACTGATGCTCCCTTTCCTGCTAGAAATTCTCTCAACAGGTTTTTGACTTAATTTCGGTTTTGTCTCTGACAACCCAACGCAAGTTAATTTTATATATCTTTAATACATGTATGTATATATACATACATATAGAATTCTAGTCAAAGTGTGTGTTTGTGTATTTTCCTGTTTATAATACCTATATGTATATTTATAATACTCCTCAGAGTATTTTGTGACTCAGGCATCAGATCTGATGCTGCGGAATCCAATATATGTGTATATGCATATGTTCAAATACTGTGTGTATATTTAAAAGATCTATTGTTGGTGGTCTGTAGAATAACTTTTCTCTTTACTCTCAAAATGTTAATGGCATTACTTGCAAAGACTAAATGTACAGTATTTTCCTACACTCCACCAAGATAGGTATTATTTATATCAAAGTCAAATACTGATATGCATTTTAAGGTATTACACATACGGTGTTGCCATTTTTGCAAATAAAACCACTTTTTGGCAGGAAGGAATCCTAAAAATACCTTTTCATAAGGTAATGACCCCCAACAAACGACTGCTGAAAACCCAGCAAGATGACTCCTGTTCTTGTATGACTTTTGTGGGAAGACCCCTTTCCAACTTTGAAATGATTCCTGCAGGGCCGCTGTTGTCCCTTTGGGCTCGTGGAGAGCATCGTAAAACAGAAATGGCAGCTGGCAGTGTTGGAGTTCACTGACTGCATAGAAGCAGAGATGGGTCCAGGCTACAAGCCCAGCTAGCCCCTCATGTTGGGGAGCCAGGGCTGTCAGCAGGGCTCAGCCCCATAGTGAAGGAGCGTGGTCCCGGGACACACAGGATTTGCACGGGAAGCTGGTACCTGGTGTTTGTGATATACCTGAGAGAAATGTGCATGCTCTAGATACTGTTTCCACTACTGGTTGTGCTCTGAGCGAAGCTATCTGGATCCCGCAGACTGGCAGGAACTATACTAAACACTTTGGTGATATTTGATGCGTGTCTGTTTACCATTTGGTTTCAAGAATCACCTTTGATTTCAAGGGTGGGGATGCCCTAAGAGTTTGTTCCAGAACCAGTTGGTTACAAGTGCACCTCTTATATATGCCTTACAAACTTCAGAGGCCATATTCAAAACAGGGTTTTATCAGTGTATGCAAGGGGGTGCAGCCCCTCTTCTCTTCCTCCCCAGGTCAAACAGAATGGACAGTTTTCACACATATCTACCTGTATAACCCTCTGTACCTCTCATAACTGGTCAATGACTGTAACAGGTTACATCAGGTGTTTTTTCTACATACTTTTTACACAAATTCTATGCGATTAATGTAACTTAATTCAATGCATCATTTTATTGTACTAGTTCTTAAGCTTGTCTTTATTTTTTTTCTAGGTGACTGTGGTTTCTTGTGATTTTTATTGTATAAATAAATGAGGTGGCTGTTGATGCTTACTCTCTGTTACTAAGAATTTTTACCTTTTTGGAAGAAAGCATTGCTATGAACTAATGAATTTAAAACGTCATTTACTCATTGTAAATACAGTATTGTGCAAAAAACAAAAATGAAAAAAAAAAAAAAAAAAAAGCACCCGACCCTTTTCATTCATTTGAATTGCTAGTGTTAACTGAATTTTGTCTAGACACCATTTCTGTTGATGAAATAAAGACATATCATTATGTATTGTAAACCAACTTATCTTGACTCTGAAATCGCTGTCGCAATCCTTGGTTGCACGGGGTTGGAGCTGGCTGGGGGTGGCCTGGAGGTGGCTGACAGAGTCTGGAGGATGCAGCCTATAACAGGACCTTCACTCATGTGGTTGCATTTCGGATTCACTCGATGTCTTAGATGCAGGGATCTGGTTATCTTTCATCTGATCAGAAGGTGTTTCATGGCAGAAATGAAAGAAGTTGGTTGGAAGATCAAACACTCTGCATCTATACCCATTCCCCTCATGCTTAAGGCAAATCTTCTAAGTCTTTGCTTTGTCTTGTAAAGTTTCAGTGAATGTGTACAATGGCAAGAAGCAAGGTTGGGGTTTATTATTTCCCCTTTATAGAAAACTTGAGAGAAATTGGAAGGGGTTTATGCAGAAACAAGTAAAAATAAAAATAAAAATCTCTGAGAGTAACTCTAGCATTTTCTGAGTAAGGAACCTGTGCCACTGACCATTCATGTCTGGATGCAGCTTGAGCACCAGATCATGGCAGGAGAAGACCATGTGGCCCCTTTGAGGACCAGCATTTTATCACCAGATGAGCAACCGTATATCATGTGCCCTGGGGCAGTGCCCTAAGGGATGTTGGCTTGCATCCTGTTTGGTTGACAGCACTGGATGTTGCTTGTGACTGTTCACCTGAAAATTCTCATGGAGGAAAAGCAGAAGTGCTGCTTCACAAAGTTCCCCAGTTTTCTGAGTCTCCCTGTCAAGCAAATAAGAACACTTACCACCCTCTCAAATCTGTATCCACTGCATATCATCACAGTCTGGGAGCAGGGCATGTGGTGTAGCAAGAGCTTCTCCATCCCTGGTCAGTTGTTTCTTACACTTAACAGCCACCATCTTACACGTTTTCCTTTTTTCACTTTAAAAAACACTGCAATTTCAAGCAATCCTTGTTTGATTCCATTTTTTTCTGCTGGTCTACTGATCTTTCCTATAGAAGGCTTGTATCATTAAGGAAACTGGCAGAGCAAACAAGTTGTTCTTGCTACTGAAGTGGTGAGCACATCAATACCAGATGCAAGCTACCACAGGCTTGGCAAATAAGAGCAGCCAAGAGCATGTGTCCAGAAACAGGCTTGTGGATAGTCAAAGTGCTTTATTTTCTGGGTACACAACTGGAAGGATTGATTTAAACTTCAGAAATCTGACCTTCCAGAATAAATCTTGTCTTAGCAAACTCGTAATGAGATCTTTGTACTTTTGTTGTCTTCAGTTAATTCATATGGACTAATAAAACAGCAAAGGGATTAAGATTCTTATGACCCTGAGCTGGTTCTGCAGTTCCTCTAAAACAGAACTGAAGAAAAGCACAGATGTTTTTTTAAATGAATTGCCTGGTCTTCCTTAGTTTCAATTCTGAACACAGAAGTATTAACTATGAAGACACTACACAAGCATGGAAAGTCTCTCGCAGAGCTTGAGGATTGCTTTGGCACAGGCAGAACAACAGCAGCAGAATATCCTTCAGATGAGATTTTATTCTGTGCCCAAGCTTCTTCAGCTTCCTTCTGTGCTTGGTCCATCTTTTATTCATTGGCTGCTGAGCCCTGGGCAGATAGAGGCCACATTGCCTTCCAAATTACATTCACACTAAATTAACTAATTTCCTTGTTGAAGTCTTGGGCCTCCTACTACCCTTAAGGTCTATGCATCAGGCTGGTTGCTGATATGAACACTACTCATGTGCATAACAAGCTGTATATTCCAAAACATCGTCCCAAAGACACCGGGCTGGTTCTGCAGTGACAACATGCACTGATAAAATCCAGCTCAGCTTATACGAGAAAAATTGTAAAATGTGGAGCAAGCTATTTGTGAACATCAGCAATCAGAGTACAGTATTACTGGGACTGGTGTAAAATTGAAGAATGAAACAAGCGTTTGCTTCCTTAAAGATCAGAATTAAGCATTTTAAGGGGACGGATAGGGAGACAGTAGTAGATAATTGGCATTTTATCTTTCTGCTGAAGGTGGTTTGTGCTCATTCCCTTAGTTTATCTCTTGTCCTCAGAATGCCATTACTTTTTCATGATAGATGATAGTTCTAGGAGCATGCTCTGAAAGATAACAGGAGAAAGAAGGCATGAAGTTGACCTGGCTTAGAGGAAAAAAAGAAACGTAATCATAACAGTTAATCCAGATCCCACCACATACGTAGCTGAGGAAGAGAGATGCTGACAGCACACTTACCTTGGCTTCATTCAGTGCTAAGGGGTGGCTGAGGGGAGGGAGAACAGCTTGCTTTTAAATCAAACACATTAATCCCAAAGTAACTTGTTTGAAAATAGTGACTACATCTTATCGCCCTTTCTTCACGTTAATGACTTTCTGTTGCTTTAAAACCCTACAAAGACAGACTTGGCTAGGCTAGCTCCACTTTCAGAAATCCAGTTTCTCTCAGACATTTGTCTGTCTGTTGCTACACAAATCCTTGGAGAGGTTCATTATTTATCAGCCACTGTGACCCCCCAAATTTGTCATTTTCTTATTGTCTGTGTCTGTGAAGGGATACCTTTGGGTGATCAAGCAGATCCTGCAGGATCATTGCTACACTCGCAGTCATCATCACAGGCTTTTCCTAAGTGCTCCAAGGCAAAGAATAACATGAAGGATACAAATACTTTGAGTATCTTTTAGAGATTATTGATTAAACTTTACAAAACCAGCAGCAGCATTAGTGGTAAATGTGAATACCTGTAAGGAGTCTCACACATCCCAGTGGGGCAACACCAAGTTTTACCAATCTCTTGCCCATCTGTAGATTTTCTGGTGGAGTCTGGCTATAAAAGAACTCTCTGCAGCTATCAGATTTGCTATTTCAATGCACATGGACTCTTATTCAACTGCTTCTAGCTCCAGGAATGCAGCAAGTGAGCAGCTGGTTAAATGAGTGGGTATGTATTGCTCAAATGTTGTTGAAATTCTCAGTAACCACACCTTGTTCTGGAGAAAACTGAGAGCATTCGGGCTGAATAGCAGCTCCCTCTTTCATAGCCTTCTCATTGCTGACTCTTCTCCCACTGGGTAAAAGACTCAACGCTGAGAGAATTGAGAAGCAAAAGAAGAACTGGAAAGCACAGAGGGATAAAACAAACCAATGTAGTGGCAGAAACAGAGCACAAAGAACAGTAAGGTTTCCCCAACTTCAGCAGAGCTGGGATTTCAGCCTCAGCCTTCTTAATTATCAGTTTCATGACCTCACACAGCACGAGGCAGGACCTTTACTTCCAAAGATACATTAATTTCTTCGGAGTCAAAAATAGAGACTTGAAGAAATGATACTGCTAGGGTAGAGAACTCTCCAGAGGGTGGGTTAAAGAGAAAAGCATAGAAATGAGAAAGAAACAGGAAACAAAACAGGAATCTGAAGTTGAGTCACCCAGATGCCTAATACTTTCTGAAAATCTTCATCCAGTAATTTTGGTTCTCCATGAAACTGGTTCGGCTAAAATAGTTCTAAGTATGTCATAAAGCTCTCATGGTTCAGTAACACAACAGAACCAGTAGATATGTCACATGGCCCCATTGTTTTTTTCTATCCTTGGATGCTAAAGTAAGAGTCAGCTTGGGGTGCAGATGAGATAACATTGGTCCAAGTCTTGTGCAAGGCCGTGTCCTTGTGAGAAGAGTTACCATTCCAAGGTAATTATCCAATCCCAGCTAACCAAATTAAACTCACGGGTTTCAGAGCATGTTTTCGGACTATTTAGAAAACAATTTTATGTAGAAAAGAAAAAGTGGTGCTGGATGTGCCCAGGTATACAACTGTGCTGTTCTACTTCAGAAAGGAAGAGACAGGCTAGTGAAAGGAATTGAGCACTCATCGCAACAAACTATTACACATCTTTGAGTGGTTGCAGAAATGCTTGTGTTCAGCTCAGCTGTGACACTCTGATCATAGAATCACAAGGTTGAAAACGACCTGCAAGATCATCCAGTCCAATCATCCTCCCATTACCATTGCTATCACAAGCACTAAACCATATCTTGTAGCTCCTCATCCAGACACCTCCTGAACACTGCCAGGGACGGCAACTCCACCACCTCCCTGGGCAGCCATTCCAGTGCTTGACCACTCTCTGAGAGAAAAAGTTTTCCTTATGTCTAACCTGAACCTCCTCTGGTGCAACTTGTGGCCATTTCCTCGGGTCCAGTTTGTTGCCTAGAAGAGACCAAACCATTCCTCATCACAACCTCTCTTCAGGAAGCTGTAGAGTGCAATAAAGTCTCTTCTAAGTCTCCTCTTCTCCAGACTAAACAATTTGATGATGATGAAACATTAAGCTGTGACCATGTTCAGCAGAGCTTTGCAACTTCGTGCAATTGTTCCTCTGGTTTATAGGAAATGGCTGGAAAAGAAAAGTGATTGGTTGATGCTCACAGAGAATGATGTGGATGGTAAAGCTCTCTCACTTTTTAATGGTTCAGTTGGACTCCACAGATATCTTATTTTTATCCTTCTGCAGAGAGGAAAAGTATTCTTCAGTGATCCCAATGGCTTTACACAGCTCTGCACACATCAGGCAGTGAGGAAATAACCTCTTGTGCAATGCTCCAACAATCACATGATGAAGCACTGCAGTTCCTGCCCTCTTTTCCAGGAGTAAGGATTCTATCTATACTAGTTTTATACTTACCTTAGACTGCATCAGCCTTTTGATTTCATCAGACTTTAAAATGTATTGTGCACCTGACCTTCACAATTCTTTTTTTTGTTCTGCTCATCATGTCATTCATGGGTAGATTCCCAGTGATACCAGCATAACCCTACATTGCTTCACGCCTCCAACTCCCAGTTATCCTCTGTGAACGCAATTTCATGGAATTCACTGCAGATGATTTCTCTGAGCTGTGTGCTGAGCCACTCGTTAGGTCTCCTTGCCCATCAGGGACCAGTAGGCTCGGAGCATGCAAGAGGTGTATTTTTGCATTCCAATCTGAAAAAACCTTCAACAAATGTAATAACCAGAAATATGAATAGAATATGACAGGTGATCATTTTGGGTGTAAAACTAATCAGCTGCAACATAAATATTTTTCAAGTTTTCATGCCATGTTTGGACAGAAAGCAGAGAAATGGCTCTTAGTCTCCACCTGTTCCAGAGAGGAAAGTTTGAAGTAGCTGTGCTAGTCCTCACTGTGGCTAAATGATGCTTCTGTCATATCCTACCAAGTGAAAGGCATTCCTTCCTTTCTCTATATACAGTTGGTTTGATTACAGCTCAAATCTGAAAAATCGACTCCTCATGTCAAATGCATGTTTTGTGTTCAATTTCCTGTTGAGATACTTAGTGTCAGCTTCCAGTGAAGGATTTAATGCATTTTCTCCTTACAGTTTGATGGTAATCATTCTTCCAAAGAATTCCTAAGAGGAATTTCCTTGTTCTGTTCATATAAGCAGTAACGCTCAGGTGCAACATTTACATGATGTACTAGCATACATATGTATTGAAAGTGGTATCGTTGAATGCTGTAGCAAAGTGCACTAGCCATAATAGTGACTGAATTTTATACAGAAGTGCACTGAGAATATCATGAGACACATTTAAAATTGCTGGCAATAGTCCCCAAATATAGTCACAAAGGCAGCATGCCAGAAAAAGTGTTACTTTCAGGTATAATGACATTGCTTTGCAAACTGCATGTACTCCTCTGCAAGCTCTCACCTGAAAGATAAGTTTGTTGTCATCAAATATTAAAAGTTGCCAAGTAACATCTATGAATTCTAAACAGGGACTGAAAGTCTGCCTTGCTTAATACCTTTTGCATATCACCTTTTTAATTATTTTTCTCATCAGAGTATCAA